TGGCAGATGTCCTAAATAGCACTCTGGCCTCAGAATCAGCCCTAAAGGCATTCGGATCTGGCTGAAAAGCCCATGAGAGTATTTCAGGCATGGAAAGCCAAGACACTCTGGCAAAAGATCTCTGTGAGTGAGATCCCAGTGTAAAGAACAGGTCATCAAAGAAGGAGGTACCTTTCTCTGAAGGGAGGAGAGAACCTCCACTTTGACTATGACCTTGTCTAAACAAGATAAGAGTTGGAGAACTCAGAGGGCTTCCATAGCCTTGGAAACTCATGACTGGAGCATAGGGAGATTACTGATGCCATAGACAGGAGTGTCAATTGGTAAAGTCAACAACAGGAGTCACTGTGCACTTACTCCTCATGTAGGATCTCTGTCCTTAATGTGCTGTACACTGAGGCTTAATGCTATAACGAGTACTCAAACAGTATATTTCACTTTGTGTTTCTATGGGGGTGCAAACTGTTGAAATCTTTACTTAATGCATACTAAACTGATCTTCTGTAAAAAAAAAAAAAAAAAGAAATTATCAATTCCCAACTTGACTCTCACTGGGATTAAACATGACAATAGGTCTGATCTGATTTCATCATCATTTAAAAAAATCATCTATTATTTTTCACTTTATGTTTCTGTGTGGGAGCAAACTGTTGAAATCCTTACTTAATGTATACTAAGCTGATCTTCTGTATATTAAGATAATCGAAAATGAATCTTGATGTGAATGGAAGGGGAGAGGGAGTGGGAAAGGGGAGGGTTGTGGGTGGGAGGGACGGTATGGGGGGAAGCCATTGTAATCCATAAGTCGTACTTTGGAAATTTATATTCATTAAATAAAAGTTAAAAAAAATTATAGGAGCTGGTGCTGTGGAGGAGTAGGCTAATCTACCTATGGTGCTGGCATCCCATATGGGTGCCAATTCTAGTCCTGGCTGCTCCACTTCCAATCCAGCTCTCTGCTTATGGCCTGGGAAAGCAGTAGAAGATGGCCCAAGTCCTTGGGTTCCTGCACCTATGTGGGATATCCAGAAGAAGTTCCTAGATCCTGGCTTCAGATTGACTCAGCTCCAGCCATTGCGGCCAGTTGGGGCGTGAACCAGTGGATGGAAGACGCTTCTCTCTGTCTCTCCCTCTTCTGTAACTCTGTCTCTCAAATAAATAAAATCTTTAAAAATATTGTAACAAAAGAAATAGTTCCATTGAAAAAGACCTCAATTACCTACACTGCCTTATTCAAACGATCTGTTCTCTATTCCAGGCTAATCCCACACATATTTTCTTTATGCCATATGGTTCTTGCTTTGTATTAAGTTGTCAAACATCTTCAACAGCCACAGAAATTTCTCACATTAATTCTTTTACAGCATGTTTAGCTAACACATACTCACTACAGCAGCATTGCCTTAGAAACCCTGTTTCTTCGGGGAATACTGAAGTACCAAGTTACCCCAGGATCTCATCTTTTTCCTAAACAAAGACAGATCTAATAATAAGCAGTGCTCCTACTATTGCTTACAAATGCCCTGGTAATATATTTTCAATGAAACAGAAGCTACCAGGAAGCCTTCCGAAAACTTTTATTAAGAGTTGGGTATTGTAGTATTAAGCTGTCAAAGATGAAAATCTAGAAGCAGGTGTTTGACACCAGTTGAGACATCTGCATGGCATATCAGAGCTGTTGGGTTCGGTATCCTGTTTGGGTCCTGACTCTAGCTTCCTGCTAATGCAGACCCTGGGAGACACTGGTGATGGCTGAAGTGATTACATTACCACCACCTACCTTGGAGACCTGCACTGAACTCCTGGCTATTGAATTCTGCCCCAGCAGGGGGCTATTGCAGGCATACCCAGAAAATGGGGGAATGTGTTTTCTCTCTAATAAAAAAAAAAATAAGTGGGCCTACAGTGTTTGACCGGATGAACAAAACCTCTGCCCTCAGGGGCCGGTGCTGTGGTGTGGCAGGTTGGGCCATAATCTGTGATGCCCGCCTTCCATATGAGCACCACTTCCCATCCAGCTCCCTGCGATGCACCTGGGACGGCAGCAGAAGATGGCCCAAGTGTTTGGGTCCAAGTGCTTGAGCCTCATGTGAGAAACCTCGATGGGGTTCCAGGCTCCTGGCTTTGGCCTGGCCCAGCTCTGGCCATTGTGGCCATTTCAGGGAGTGAACCAGCGGATGGAAGATCTGTCTTTCTCCTCTCTCTCTAATTCTGCCTTTCAGGTAAATAAATCAATCTTTAAAAAAATAATCTCTGCCCTTATAGAGCTCATATGCCAGGGGTGGGTGGGAACAGGCTAAATACTTTCCAAGGTCTAATGACTGATATATGAGTGAGATAAAATACAGTATGGCTCTGGGCAGCGACTGAAATAAGACTGAAAGGTGACAAAGATGACAGCCACTGAAAAGCTATTCCACACCCAGGGATGACAAATGCAGTAGCCCAAGGCAGGCCCAGTCTTGGCAGCGATCAGCTGTCTGGAGCAGGAAGGCCAGGTTGAGTTGTGCAAGTGAGAAAGAGTGGAAAGACAAAGTCAGAAAGACCGGCAGAGGCTGCTCCTTTAGGGCACAGTGGGTCCAAGTAAGGAGTCGGGAAGCAATTGGTTTCAGTGGGAGAGCGACATGGTTGATCTGTGAGTCTTTAAGACTGGCTGCAGGCCGGCGCCGCGGCTCACTAGGCTAATCCTCCGCCTAGCGGCGCCGGCACACCGGGTTCTAGTCCCGGTTGGGGCGCTGAATTCTGTCCCGGTTGCCCCTCTTCCAGGCCAGCTCTCTGCTGTGGCCAGGGAGTGCAGTGGAGGATGGCCCTGGCCCAAGTGCTTGGGCCCTGCACCCCATGGGAGACCAGGAGAAGCACCTGGCTCCTGGCTCCTGCCATCGGATCAGTGCGGTGCGCCGGCCGCAGTGCGGCGGCCATTGGAGGGTGAACCAACGGCAAAGGAAGACCTTTCTCTCTGTCTCTCTCTCTCACTGTCCACTCTGCCTGTCAAAAAAAAAAAAAAAAAAAAAAAAAAACAAAAAAGACTGGCTGCAGAGGAGAAAAGACTGGAGCCAGCCAGGCAGCCAGTTAAGAAACGTAAGTATCAGCTGAGAAGTGAACAGTAAGGGGGCAGGCAGAGGAGATGGATGGATGAAGGCTACAGGTCTGCAGCAGGCACGGACAAGACTTGTAGGCTGACTGGAAGGAGACAGATGGACAAGTGGTTTCAGAGAAGGGAAGTCCATCCACCCGGTGCGCAGAGAAACATGGCAGAGGGCACATTCCCAAAGAGGTGACATGTAGGCACCATCTTAAAAGCAGGCATGGGAAAACAAAAGTACCGCTGAGGTTGTGGAGCAACTGAACGCCGTGTGCATTAGCGGTGGGAATGTAAATATGGTAGTTGCCACTGAAAAAGAAACGGTGTTCTCAAAAACCAACCATAGAATTACCGTAGGATCAAGCGATTCCACGCTTAGGTACACGCCCCCAAGGAACTGAAAGTGGGGACTTAACCAGATAATTTGTACATATAAAATATAGTATCTTGGCCATCGCCGCGGCTCAACAGGCTAATCCTCCGCCTAGCGGCGCCGGCACAACAGGTTCTAGTCCCGGTTGGAGCACCGGATTCTGTCCCAGTTGCCCCTCTTCCAGGCCAGCTCTCCGCTGTGGCCAGGGTGTGCAGTGGAGGATGGTCCAGGTGCTTGGGCCCTGCACCCCATGGGAGACCAGGAGAAGCACCTGGCTCCTGCCTTTGGATCAGCGCGGTGCGCCGGCCACAGCGCGCTGGCCGCGGTGGCCATTGGAGGGTGAACCAACGGCAAAGGAAGACCTTTCTCTCTCTCTCTCTCTTTCTCTCTCTCTCACTGTCCACTCTGCCTGTCAAAAAAATAAAAAAATATATAGTATCTTAACCACATATAAGTGCATGGCATGTTGGTGGTAGGGAGGTACACTGTCATTGCTATGCAAGCATGCACCCACAAAACCCTTTTCATTTTGCAAAACTGTACCCATTAAAAAAATCACTCTCCATTCTCCCCAGCCCCTGGCTACCACTGTGCTTTCCGGCTCTATGAATTGCACTGTCCTAGGGACCTGGGGATTTGTAAGTGAAATTATGCAGTATTTGCCCTTTTGTGACTGATGAATTGCACTAAGTGTAATGTCTTTAAGCTTCATCAGTGTTGTAGCCTGTGTGAGAATTTCCTTCTGAAGACTAAGACATGCACTGGATCTATACATACCTTGTGTGTGTGTGTCTCACATTTTGTTTAGCCCTTCAACCATTGTTCCACACGTGAGTGTTTCCACCTTTTGGCTGCAGTGACTAACACAGCAAGGAACATGGATGTGAGTGACTCAGACCCAGAAGTCTAGAACCTCTGCCAGCCAATAAGCAACGGAGAAGACTAATAAACAAGGGGGCAAGGCTGGAAACAAGGTAAATCCCAGGGCAGCAGATAACACGTTTCCCAGATGTAAACTGGCCCCGCTTAGATGTTCACACGCTGAATCCCCAAGGTCGCGAGAACCAGTGCCCCCCAGTGCCCGAGGCTTGCTTCCTGGGCTTTCAGGAAACTGTCTTAAACTTTTGCACTTAAAATGAACAAACCGAAAAGCATCCTTCCAACACTGCCACCGTTTCTCTTCAGGGTCACGGGCTGCAGAGTGTGGCCTCGCCTGGGGAGGAGGGACTAGCCGTGGGATGGAACCTGGCTTCACACCAGTGCTCCTTCCTCACACCCATTACCCTCCTTTAACTTCTGGGGTGTGTGTGGGGGGGGGGGGTCCCACTTCAGATCTTGAGGAGTCACGCATCCGTCAAAGCTCGACGAGATCCTGAAGGTACCGGGAAAAGTGGGGCGCAGCCACCACCACCAACGCCCCTGGGGACAGGACGCAGGTGTGAGGCCGGCGGGGCGCGCCAGGAACCGCTAGCCCCCAGCGCACCTGGAGCCCCGTGCGCCGCCCTCGAGCGTCAATCAACACAGCCGGCGACCGGGCGCACTCACCCTTCTCCTTGGTCACGATGGAGATGAGCGGCACCCGCGGCCGGTCGCTGAAGACCTCGGCCTGCTGCACTAGCGCCTCGCGCACGCTGTGGAAGTCGCTGAGCACCACCACCAGATAGTGGCCGATGAAAAAGCTAAAGATGTTGCCATACACGCGTGCCAGATTAGCCAGGAACACCTGCGGGTCCAGGCCCGTGGGACCCATCCCTGCGGCCCTCGCCGGTCGGCGAATCCAGCCCTGACGCCACAGGAAGGGTGGTACCAGGACGTGGCCGATGTTGCCCACCAGCGGCCAGGGCGCGGGCCCGGGAGGGATGCCCCGCATTCGGTGCCGCCGCCGCTGCCAGCTCTGGCCGAGCAGTGCCAAGAGGCCGCCCAGCAGTAGCAGCAGCAACGCGCCGCCGCTCGCGTCCAGCCGCAGCAGCCCAGGAGACGCGCGCAAGAGGCGCACAGGCCAGGGCGCGTCCTCGGCCGGGGGCTGCGGCGGCCCCGGGGAGGCCATGGCGAGGGCCTGGACCTGGAGGCACCTTCACTGACCTAGGCACCAGAGCCGATGCCCGCCCCCGCCCGCGGCTACCGGCCAGGCGCTGCAAGGTCGGGGGCGGAGACGAGGGCGGAGCGGATTGGCTGCTCCCTGCGCACTACCCCCGCCCCCTCCAGGCCGCCCCGCCCCCGGGCCCCGGGGACGTATTCGCCACCCTGCGGACGCCGAGGTCAGGGGGCCGCGCGACCTGAAATTTGTCGCCAGTGCCGTCCCGGTGGCGCTGCTGCTCTGGATCAGGCTTGGCGGTCAGGGCCCCAGAAGCCAGGGTGCGTGCCGCACAGCCCTGCGCGCGGACGGGCCGCCGGATATCCTGGTGTCGCTCGTGAGTCAGTTGAGTGTCGGAAGCGTGAACTCTTATGCGGAGAATGAGCGCTCTGGTCCGTTGCATGTGACTGGGACAAAGCGGAATCTGAACTGCAGAGTGGACAGACCCGAACTTGTTTGTGGGGGGGAGGGGTTAAGTAGCTAGTAATAGAAAAGAAAATCAGGGGGCTGGCGTTGTGGCGTGGCCTTGTGGCGTACCGTGCCGCTTGGGACAAGGGCATCCCTTAGGGATGCTGGTTAGAGTCCGGATGCTCCACTTCCGATCCAGCCCCTTGCTGATGGCCCGGGGAAGCAGCAAAGGATGGCCCATGTGCTTGAGCCCCAGCGCCCCCATGGGAGACCCCAAGAAGCTCCTGGCTTCGGCCTGAACCAGCAGATGGAAGATCTCTGTTTCTCTGTCTAGCCCTCTCTCTCTGTAACTTTCACATATATGCATACATAAATTTAAAAAAGGAAATCAGGTGGGGGCTGGATGACAGTATTATCACTTGCATTAGACCGACCCTGAAATGCTGAGTTGAAATGTTAAATATGAATTGCATAATGCTTCTAAAACAAAGTCCTTTAATCTCTGATAAGGGCTTCAGGTTGCCTTCTGTTGGACAAATCCTGTGGGTTCACTTTATATTAGGTTTGACTGAGTTTTTTAAAAAGACAAACTTATCTTTAAAACTTTGTATTTATTTGAAAGGCGCCCTCGTTTTTAGAGATTAATTTATTTATGTGAAAGGTACAGTTAGAAAGAGAAGGAGAGACAGAGATGTTCCATCTGCTGGTTTGCTCCCCAAACAGCCGCAACGGTCAGGACTGAGCCAGGCCAAACCAGGAGCTTCTTTAGGGTCTCTACAAGGGTGGCAGGGGATCAAGGGCTTAGGGCAATCTTTCACTGCTTTCCCAGGCATATTAGCAGGGAGCTGAATTGGAAGTACAGTAGCTGGGACTGGAACCCGTGCCCATAAGGGATGCTGGCATTGCAGGTGGTGGCTTAACTCACTGTGCACAGCACTGGCCCCATAACCATTACTTTTTTTTTTTTAATTTATAAATCTATAGAATTTTAACAATAGGGGCTGGCATTATGGCCTGGAGGGTTAAGCTGCCTGCTACACTGACATCCCACATAGGCTCCATTTCAAATCCTGGTTGCTGTATGTCCCACCTAGCTCCTGTTAAAGTGCCTGGGAAAGCAGCAGGAGATGGACCAAGTATTGGGCCCCTGTCATCCACACAGGTGACCTGGATGGAGTTCCGGGCTCCTGGTTTCAGCCTGGCCCAGACCTGGCTGTTGTGGACATTTGGGAAGTGAACCAGGGATGGAAGCATGCTTGCTCACTCTCTCTCTCTCCCCATCTCCCCGTCTCTCTCTGTAACTCTGCCTTTCAAAACAAAAATAAGTCTTTGAAAAGCCAAAAGAGAATTTTAAAAATTTAAGCTACTTGTTTGGATACCATCTTCAATATGTCACTCTTTCCATGCCTTGCTCTCTGAAACAGTATTTACTAACATCTTTCCTTACTGGCAATGTACACTCAAATGATTTTAGAATAGGTGAAGATGGACTAAATTAAGAACCCTTATAGCCACCCTCTGGAACAGGCTATAACTGCATTCATTCATGGCATTGTCCTAAGCATCCTATGATTTTGTCCCAGTTCGGAACTCTGTGGGGGACTGAGCTGTGTTCCCCGCACCACCACCACCACTCACATGATGAGATCCCGGGCCCTCGGCTCAGGATGGTGTTGAGGGCTGGGTTGTTAAAGAGGCAGCTGAGGTAAAATGAGATACTATGGGTGTACCCTAAACCAACAGGACTGCTGTCTTTGTGTGAAGAGGCGACCAGGAGGCAGGCACGGAGGGAAGACTGTGGGGAGCCAACTGCCAGACAGCAGGGACGGTTCACGGGAAGCCAACACTGCCATCTTTGAGTCCAGTCTCCAAAGCAACGAGGAAATGCATCTCTGTTGTGGGAGCCACCCAGTCTGTAGTACTTTATCATAGCAGCCTGAGCAAACTGAGACGGGAAGCGGTCCTGTCTTCATGACAGATGAATCATCTGTTTAAGCATGAAGCCATAGCTCATGCAGTGCTGTTTAGGGATGAGTGTCCCCAGGCTACACTCAGGGCATGCCTGCACATACAGGGATGCCTCCTGCTCCATCTTTTTCTGTTTTAAGTACGCAGAGAAGCTCATAATCAGCAGCAATGCTGGAAGAGAATACTCCCAGAGACGGGCTGGGCAGCAGAAAGACAATGAGAGCATTAGGGGAAAAAGTCACTTTTATTGAGACTCCAATGAAAAACACTCACTTCCCCACTTAAATCCTTGCTCTACACTGATCTAGGCCAAAACTGTTGGAAACAGTATATCCAAAATATCTAAGTACTTACTCTTTTGTTATCAAGGGTGGTATTAAGTTACTCTATTTGTAAAGCTACAGTTGTCCAGCTGGTTTGTAATTCCTTGGGAAGTAAATGCTACGCACCGGTCAGTGAACATGAACACAGAGAGTTTATGCATTAAGGGTTTGCCAAATACTAATGGAAAGATAAAGAAAAATGCTACTTGTACTATTGAGTTGCATAGCTCCACTGACCATTTGAAAATTAACACCTTTAAGGCTGTCCCTGTGGCGCGGCAGGTTAAGCTGCAGCCTGCAATGCCAGTATCCTGGCTGCTCCATTTCGAATCCAGCTCCATGCTAATGCACCTGGGAAAACAGCAGCAGCTGACCTAATTCCCCGGGCCCGTGTGTCCACATGGGAGTTTCTCAGTTTGTGAGAGAAGCACACATAGAGAACTAATTAAGATTTGATCTGACAAGTATTATAGTAGAGTGGCATGCCAAGAACCACACTATTATATAAATTTAGACATAATAGGGACTGGCATTGTGGTGTAGTGGGTAAAACTGACACCTGCGATGCCGGCATCCCATATGGGCGCTGGTTCAAGTCCTGGCTGCTCTACTTCCTAACCAGCTCCCTACTAATGTTCCTGGAAAAGCAGCAGAAGATGGCCCAACTTCTTGGGCCCCTGCACCCATGTGGGAGACTGGAAGAAATTTCTGGCTCTTGGCACAACCCTGGTCATTGCGGTCATTTAGGAAGTGAACCAGGGGATGGAAGATCTCCCGTCGGCTTCCTTCTCCAACAGAGAGCTGGGACTCTGTGCACCTAAGGGATGCTGGCACTGCAGACAGCGGCTTAACCTGCCGAGGTGCAGTACTGGCCTCTGCAGCCTTAGCAACCCTCTTCAACATAAGATTGAAACTGGTGAGGACATTCTTTTCTATCTTTCGCCCTCTGCCCTGTATGATGAGTAAGTAAACGTGCGCATCTGCACCATGACCCGGGCTGTGACTTCCTTTGAGTGGTGTTAATTGCAAGGAGGCCCCTGGACAATCTAAACATCAGGGGAAGACAGAATCCTGGAAATAACAAGACCCAACCCCCAGAACTTTTTACTTGGACAAACTGACAGTGCCTGGAATGGAACAACTTTTGTTGTTGAATGCCGATGTGGAAACAGTCCAGTATCTTTCAACACAAGAGGGGCACAGGAAGGGGGCAATAGTGGACTACTGAATCAACAGACCACGCTTCAACAACAGAAAGGGAACAAGTTGTGATGCATTCCATAGTGTAGATCTTAAAAAACATTAGGCTGAAGGAAAAGGCCAGAGACAAAAGGGTACATACTGAATAACTGCATTTATATGAAGTTCCAGAAGAAGGAAGAAGCCAACGTATGGTGAGAGAAATCAGAACGGGAGGCGAATTGTCTGGGGAGGGACATGAGCAGTTTTTCCTGGGGTGGCAGAAACGTTTTGTGTCTTAGTTGTTATCGTTTATTGTTTAGGGAATGATGACAGGAGAAACATCCGTGCATTCACGTCAGTACAGACGCACCCATAATGGGCTTAAGTACATTTTTCATCCTCAGTTGGGTGACCCTATGGCTACAGAGGCCAACTTCATATTAAATTCTTAGAAAGTCAGAAAATGAAAAAGAAATTTAATTTCTTTGCCCAGAAAACACAACTTTTTGTTATATGTATGTCTCAAATCACAAACAGGATAAAAATGTCAACCTAAGAAGGTATCTCATCGAACATCCTGGTTTTACAGTTTGAGTAACTGAACACTGGAGTTCTTGCAAACTGATCAGTGTTGTGAGGAGGGCTGACATGATGTTTAGCTTAGTTCTCCAGACATGATGGTTGCAGGTACATAAAATATCTGTAATTCATTGTTAATGTCAGTAATAGTAGTTTAAAAGTACTCTATATCCTGATCAGAGTGTTGGGTACATGGATGTCTGCATTTGTCAAAACTGAGCTATAAGTAACTTCACAAAACAAAAATTTAAAAAACCTGCTAACTTGGAAAAAAAGACATGGTAAAGAAAGATTGGCTGATTTATGAGCCATACCTATGGTGAGGTGGGTGCTGACGGTACAGTTCACAATATATTGTTAAAATAACAACAGTGGTCAGTGGCTTCCCATGTAAATAAAAGAGGAACAACAGTAGCGAAAAGTGATTTGATTCCTGGCTCTGGCTCCTGATTCCAGCTTCCTGCTAATGCAGACCCTGGAAGGGGTGGCAAAGTGGCCTATTTATTCAAAAACCACCATTCCACAATAAAAAAAGGAGTAAGGTACGATACACTCCACAGTATAGATGAATCATTGAAAATATTACACTGAATGAAAAAGCCAGAGACAAAAGGGTACACACCAAATAGCTGTATTTATATGAAATGTAATAAATTGGCTCCCTGGCGTCCATGGAGGGAACCTGCGTCTCGAGCTTCAGCCTCTGGTGGAAGTGAACCAGCAGATGGGAGCTCTGCCTCTGTGTGTGTGTCTCCTTGAAATAATTGTGTTTTTACAAAAGTGTTCAACAATAACATTCCTCATAAAAAACCAGCATGCTATCACTTCAGCTAGCCTGAACATAATTCTTACAGATGCTAACATGTTATTTTTATGT